TCTAGAACTTCTTTTATAAAATTTACAACTTTTAATGCTGCAGTGGTAGTACTATGTTTTTTTACGAAATCCTGATTGAGAAATCGAAAGAATAGAATTAGTGGCCAAATGTTCTTTTACTTGTTCACTAACAAGGGACTCAAAGACTTTTGCAAGCACAGATAATTTTGCAATAGGTCTATAATTGTTCAAAATTGCTGGATCTCTTCCTTTCAATAGGGGAATAACAAATGCATATTTCCAAACTTTGGGAATTACATTGGTCAACAAACTGAGATTAAAAATTTTAAAAACATAGGTTCCAATTTATCTGGACCTGGGTTTTTTTTTTGGAATCAAGTTTTTTTTTAAAGCTTTAACTACCTCTGCTATTGAGAAAGGTACTAAGTTAAAAGCTTGAACATTGCCTCGGTCTCCATCAGCCAGTGGTGAACCATTTGAGGACTTTTCAGAAAGAAAAGGCTGTTTGGATGGGTTTTTAGAGTTAAACAAAAACCCAGAAGAAATAAAATGATTGTTAAAATAATTTAGAATACTTAATTTATCAGTTATCCTGCTACCATCAATCAGCATACTTGAAGGGAAATTAACTGAGTTAGAGGGTGATGACAATGATTTAATTGTTTTCCAAAATTGTGGGGGATTTTTCAGACTTTCGGTAGTCATAGACAAATAAAAGTCAGCCTTTGTATTTCGAAGAAGAGAGGTAAATTTATTTCTTAGTTGTCTAAAATAAATCCAGTCAGCTTCCAGGCCTGATTTTCGTGCCCTTGTCCATGCAGAATTTTGCTTGTGTAAAAGCTCTCCTAGTTCTGCTGTAAACCATGGATTTTTACGTCCTTTAACTCTAAATTTACAAAAAGGGGCATGCTTATTAACAATTTGACTGAAACTTTCGAAAAAATAACTCCAAGCCAATTCAACATCATCAAAGAGAGCAATCCTCTCCCAGTCAAAATAATAAAGATCTTGCAAAAATGCTTGTTCAACAAACATTTTCAAATTACGCTTTTCTACAAAACATGGCTTAGTTTTAGGAAGCTTTGTGTCTCTTACAACTGCTACTACACAGTGGTCACTCACATCATTTGAAAAGACAGCTGATGTCACATATTTAGACAGCATATTGGTTCAAACTAAATCAAAGAGTGTTGCTCTTTGAAAAAACTTGGAGTTGGATCTAGTTGGGGAATTAATTGTGTAAGATTTAATGAATCACACAATGTTTTCAGACCATCGGACTCGGGCATAAGCCAATCACAGTTTGAATCTCCCACCAAGAGTAATTCATTGTATTTAAGTTGTGATAATAACTTCCCAAGAGAAACCAAAGCATTTTTTGGAGCAGATGGTGGCTCTAACAACCCACCAACATAATATGGTTATTCTTGGAAAGATCTATTTCAAAAGCAAGCAACTCGAGCTCTTTTACGACTGATTCTTTAAGCACTAAATTAATATTAAACTTGCTCTGAATATAAATTGCAACTCTGCCCCCTTTTCTTGGACGGTCAGCGCGATACACACTGTAACCATCTATGCAAATATTCTTATCACACAGATTTTGTAAGCCAGGTTTCAGTTAAAATGGTAATATCAGCATTTGTTGAATGTGTCCATACCTTTATCAAGTCTAGCTTTTTTAACAGGCTCCTGACATTTTTATGTATTACTGTAGTCCAAGACCAGTTCTGGATTTAAAATCTGCTGGAGTATCACATTGTACTGGTATATCTGGGCCTGGATAAGACTCTACATTCCCCGACAACAATAACAATAGTACAATTAAACATTTAAGCCAGGTACTACAAGCTTTTACATCATACCCATGGCTTGAAAGACAATTATTATTAATGGAAGGGATTGGTGAACTACATAAATGCTTACTCAAAACAAATAAACAACTAAAATGAAGTGACATGCCAGGTTTAAGCAACCACTTGGATGTGTTAAAGGATACTGCTACTTCTTGGTCATGTAAAGTTATTAGAGTAGCTCCGTAACAGACTTTGCTGGTCAAAGTCACATTTTCATAGCTAAAATTAATATTGACTGTCCAGACTGGAATATCCTCCTGAGTCATATTTAGTGGTTGAAAAAAAGAGAAATTTCTACTCATATTAGTCCACCATGCAGCTGGTCCACAGACAATGACCAAACTCATCACAATAATTAGTGACATTATGAGAGTTTGAGTCAGATTTATATCCAAATGGTTACCTCACCAACTTTAGCCTCCTCTACCACTTAGGTAATGTGGCTGTAACAGACCCCAGGCTGCAAAGCAAGATTTTTAGCATGCCTCAGACCACAGTGCAGGGTAGATGCAGCTGGCCTCAGACTGTAGAGCTGGATGGATAGAGCGATCCTCAGGCTGCAGAAATGAATGAATGTAGCGGGCCTCAGGCTATAGAGCAGGCCTCAAGCTACATAGCAGCAACATGGAATGCAGCAGGCTCCAAACCATAAATCAGGGTAGACACAACAGGGCCTTCAGCAGAGCAGGGTAGATACAGCAGGGTGGATACAGCAGGCCTCAGGTTGGAGAGCAGAGAGGATGTACCAGGTCCCAAGATGTTGGGTCAGTTGGATGTAGCGTGCCTCAAACTCCAAAGCAGGGTTACTCAAAACAGGCCACAGCCAGCAATCCAGTTCACAAGTAAGGAGTGCAGGCCACAGGGTGCAAGGCGGAACAATCTTCCAGGACACAAGCTATCCAAGTCCTTCAGGAGTTAGTTATTTGCTAGCATTATAGACAGCTAAGAAAAAGATGAGTATATTTGTCATGACACTAGATCCCAAAAACTGAATAAAAATAAAAAATCGTAATAAAAACACTAAAACAGACAAACAACTGACAGAGACAATAAACATGCTGCCATCTTGGAAATCTCTGCCCCTTCAGAAGTGTAAGTCAGTTAGCTACACAGGAATAATTGAACACAAAGAGAGGGCATTATATTCATACAACATCTGTTCTTGGAACAAGGAAAACATTTGGAATTGCTTTATGCTTGTACAGGTTAAATAAATAGAACCACATTTTGGTAACTTAGAATCTAAATATGTTTATTGTGTTGTAATAATCCACATTGTAGTGAACTCGGCCTCCGACCAAAACCTGCCTCTGAGGACCTCCATGGGACAGGAACTGTTATTTCATTGATTTGAATTCAGAAATACAAATTAGCTCATCCAGAGACTGTCTAATTGTATCCTGAAGTAATCAATTAAAAGAACACTCTTCTTCTATATTATCATTACTATTTTACAATATCTTGATAAATCAAAAGTGTGTTTAGTTCATACCATTTCTAAATGTTGAAGTGAACCACTCATTTTAAATCAACTGTGAAACAGTATTAATGATTTTTTAATGCTCATTTAAATTAAAAATCAAGTTAAAATGTCTATTTTACAAAGTAATTATGCATTTTAGATCTTCTGTCTAAATGAGAAGTAGTAATCTCAGTCAAGAGTCAGGAAGCAAGTATAAGAACGAAGTGCTTTGTTTTTAAAACTCTCAGACAGTAAATAAGAAAACTGGCACCTATAAGTCTGTCATTTCTCCAAAATATTTTCTCGTCTGTAACTAACCACTCTTAAAACATTCCTGCTGTTTTCTTGACTTGTAATGACCCTCTGACATCACTAGAACCACCCCCTGTTGGTTGCTTCAACCAATCAGAAAGTCCTGACGTGACCAGAAGTGAGAACTCTTTAAGAGTCCACACTTCCTGGAACTTCTGGGATCAGTCAGGTCTACGAGGTCAACTAAGTCTGAGTCGTTTGAAGTCTTCCTGGAATCCGGTGGAGTTTTTCCACTGCTGAGTGGAACTTCAGACTCAGTTTTCCAGTCTGATGGAGTCATCCATCTCTGCAGGAGTCATGGCGCCTCGCTGTGACTTCACCCGGGCGAACGCCCTACAACTTCTGAGGAAGTTTGTTCTGTTGAACGGACTATCTCACGACTTCTGCCGAGTCGCAGCCACCCTGACCGGAGAGAGACGCTGAAAGGTAGTGTGCCAGGGACCTCTTGACCGTAGCGGACCCATCCTCTGCCAAGGTAAAGAGTCGTCATGAGCTTCACGCACTAAGTGGACCGAGGGCGAGCTGCGTTTGAAAGGAGCGTGCTGTTTCTGGTCAACAGACACACATCTTCCTTCAAACCTCTCCATTTAAACTCCTCCATTTCCCATCTTTAAACTCTTCTATTTTGCCAGTAATTAATCTAGAGGCCTTCAGAAATGTCTGTTGTTTTTATTAAGTAAAACGTGCCAAGTTTTATTAATCAGAACCAGATCAGCTAATCAAGTGTACATGTTTTGATGTTAAATTTTGATTCTGTTCAATAAATGACTGGATTGATTCTGATGGGTCAAAGAAAATTAACGTCTCATGTCACTGATTAAACAACCTACGCACAGTTACCTCGGTCACATGGCTGTAATTTAGCTCGAAAAAGAGAGAACCCGTTATTTAAATATAATTAGTAGTGAAGGTACAGCAAAGCTGACTTTGACACAATACAACATTAAGGATAAAAGAGGACCCACAGAGCTCTGGTCAACATAAATATGATTGAGTTGTACATGGTCTGGATAAATACATTGAATAAAATGTAACAAACTGTACCAAACTAATAATAAAGTAAACTGCAGCACCTGCAGCCTTATCTTGTATTAATCAGAAACTTGTTGAGATCTATAAGGAAAACTTTGACTTGTTTTTATTGAATTTGACCTCGAGCTGTTGAAACAGGAATAAAGCATGAGTGGCTTTTATTGACCGCAAAGTAGTAAATCAGTAAAATAATAAACTCAGTGTGTGTACAATATTGTATAAACTGCAATCAATATTTTTATCTGAAAAAGTGCCTAAGAGAGAAAGCAAAAACGTCCATGCTCAATACTAAGAGAGAGAGGTTTTAATATTTAAGTTTACTTTTTAATGAACTCTGAGCTGTGTTTTCCTTTCTCTCAATTCTCTGTCTGCTACAGTTCTTGTCTAAAGGCAATCAGGCCAGAGACGACATTGCAACTGAGGCCTACGAGGAGGAGCTGGAGATGGGGAGGTCTGGTTCTTACTTCAACAACAGCATTGCATCGGCCTGGAGCGAGCACAGCCTGGACCCAGAGGACATACGGGTAAAACGTTTAACAATTAAAAATTCAGTCGGTTCTCCCAAACAGCTTTAGTCCTAGGCGTTAAACTTCCTTCTGATATGAGACCATAGTATCAACAGTGGGCTGCACAAGTATTAATCCATCTTCACATTCTATCTGTTTTGTTGCCTGGAATTTAAAAGGAATATACTAGAAATTTAAATACTGAAAAAAAAAGAAAACCTGAGTCTGCATTATAGCTCACCCAACAATTTAGGGTCAATATTGTGTAGAGCCACCTTTGCAGCAGGTACAGCATAAACTCTCCAAATGTGTCTCTGCCACCTTGGTCCATCTCCACTGGGTGTTTTTATCCTTTCTTGTCTACCAACATGGAATGAAGAGGAGTGATTGGAAATACCTTCTGCCCATCTTGGTTCATCTATGCACGCTGTGCACATGAAAACTTGGAAAAATAAGTCAGGTACTGACTTCCATTTTGGTATGTGGCTACGTCTAGGCGTAAAAACAGTTCCTTTGGAAAATTGATTTGCCACATCAGAATCTGGCCACTGACATATATATATATATATATATATATATATATATATATATATATATATA